AGTAAAAATTTTAATATAAAATAATAAAAGTCAATTAGATTAATCATATGCCTTCTTGAAAAGCCAGGTCTTCAAATCTTTTTTGAAAGTAGAGATAGATATACTGGACCTGATTTTAACTGGCAAGGAATTCCACAATTCAGGAGCAGCAAAAGAAAAAGCTCTTTTTCGATAAAGATTGAGATTGTAAGATGGTTTACATAACAGGTTTAATGATGAAGATCTCAAAGAACGAATAGGGACATAGGATTTTATAAGGTCAGAAAGAYAAGAAGGAGCACTGTTGTTTAAAGCTTTATATGTCAATAAAAGAATTTTGAATTCAATAAGTTGTTCCACTGGCAACCAGTGTAAATTAAAGAGAACGGGAGTAATGTGCTCATGCTTACGAGAGAAACTAACAAGTCTCGCTGCTGCATTTTGCACATGCTGTAGTTTATTTAGAGAAGTCTTCGGAAGACCACAAAGTAAAGAGTTACAAAAATTAAGTCTAGAAGAAATTAATGCATGCACAAGGGTTTCACATGCACTCAGACTAAGAAATTTACGGATTTTCCAGATATTATGGTGGTGAAAAAAGCAAGATCCACAGATAGCCGTAATATGAGCCTCAAGAGAGAGTCTTTCATCAAAAATAACACCAATATTACGAACAGAAGACGATGGACGAATATCAAAACCAGAAATGTTAAATAAGTCAATTGATGGACATGGACGATGAGTTGAAGGGAGTACCAGTATCTCAGTTTTATCACCATTCAACTTTAATTTATTCATAACCATCCATGTGTCAATATCCTTGRCACATGCCTCAAGTTGGAGTTTGGCAGCCTCTAATTCGTATGTTGATGATGTGGAAAATGAAACGTAGAGCTGTGTATCATCAGCATACAGATGATAGCTGATATCATAGCGTGAAATTATCTCGACGATAGGTGAAACATACAATAAAAATAAAATAGGTCCCAAAACCGATCCTTGAGGACTATGAGCGACTATATGACATTCTACCATGAAGTACATCCCTTTCAAGGAAAACAAACACTTGATCGATCGATAAAAGTCAATAAAATACACAAACTGGACGACAAACTCGATGGAGATTCAATGTTTTTGCTGGTTTCAGGTGGTTTCAAGATGGTTTCAGGTCGTTTTAGGTGGTTTCAGGTCGTTTTAAGTGGTTTCAGGTGGTTTCAGGCCGTTCCTTGTTTTAGTAACAGTACCCCCGCACGAGTTATATGTTATTGTATTAACTAAAGTAATGATTTTTGTTTTGGTTAGCTAAACGTATCTATTTCTAGTCGAATATTTTTATGAAAAAGGGATTTTCATGCCGAAACCTTCAACGAGTGGGTAGACGAGGAATTTACTGCGTCATAATTTACATAAAAGACGAGTTTTATATTAGTTTATTTATAGTTCCTTTCACGGTTTCCGACGCCATATTGTTTGGGGGGCAAATTTACTAAGAAGCGTAGGGAAAGAGA